TTTTTGGTGACAGTTCTGGGGATTAAACTCAGGACCTCAAGCAAGCCAAGTTGACTCACGTTTTGGCTTTCTGTGTCTACAGGTGACTGTAGTATGTATTGCTTATTTCCCACCCCGTTCCCATCTTAATGCCCCTTTTCCCAAAGTGACTATATGACTGAGAAGTGATGAGGTCCCACGGGGAGCCTCACAAATGGGGAGGTGAGACCGGTGTCCTTATCAAAGTGTTCCCTGTGGTTGGGGATATAGGTCAGTTGGTAGAGTGCATGTGTAGCATGCAGGAGGCCCTGGGTTTGATTCCTAGCACTGGATCAGAAATTCAAAGTCATCTTTGGCTACACAGGGAGTTTGAGGCCAGCCTGGGTGAGAGACTGTCTTGAAAAAGAAAAGAGCCGGGCATTGGTGTCCCACGCCTTTAATCCCAGCACTCGGGAGGCAGAGGCAGATGGATCTCTGTGAGTTCAAAGGTGGACTGGCCACAGAGCTAGTTTCAAGACAGGCTCCAAAGCTACACAGAGAAACCCTGTCTCGAAAAACAAACAAACAAAAAAAAAAAAAAGAGAGAGAGAGAAAAGGAAAAGAAAATAGTGTCCTCAGGAGCCTGGTATAGTGGTATAATCCTAGAATTTTCAGGGCAGAAGCAAGAGGATCAAGGTCAGCCTCAGTTACTTAGTGAGTCCCTGGCCTTCCTGAGAGTGTCTCAACAACACAGAGTCCCCAGGGAACTCCTTTGCTCCTCCCTGCATCCCAGGACCCAGGAGAGGGAAGCAGTTTTCCCAGACCCCAGCTCTGGAGACCCTTGACCACAGACTTACTGCCTATGGAATGTGAGGGATATCAGTCAGACAGAGTTAGTTGGCTTCCCGGGTTAAGAGTGATGGCTATTCCACTACCTAGAGGGAGTTTTAAGTGCAGTGTGCTGGTTACCCACAGTCATCCAGACTCTGTGATGCTTTGACTCTGTGTCCCATGTCACTTTAGAAGAATCTAGTCTTAAGAAAGGAGAGAGAAAAACCGGGCGTTGGTGGTGCACACCTTTAATCCCAGCACTCGGGAGGCAGAGGCAGGCGGATCTCTGTGAGTTCGAGGCCAGCCTGATCTACAAAGTGAGTTCCAGGAAAGCCTCCAAAACAATACAGAGAAACCCTGCCTCGAAAAGCCAAAAAAAAAAAAAAAAAAAAGGAGAGAAAAGGCTGGACAGTGGTGGTGCATGCCTTTACTCCCAGCACTCGGTAGGCAGAGGCAGTCAGATCTCTGTGAGTTCGAGGCCAGCCTGGTCTACAGAGAGTTCCAGGACAGCCTCCAAAACAATACAGAGAAACCCTGTCTTTGAAAACAAAAACAAACAAACAAAAAAACAAACAGGGCTGATGAGATGGCTCAGTGGTTAAGAGCACTGGCTACTCTACCAGTGGTCCTGAGTTCAATTCCCAGGAACCACACGGTGGTTCACAAACATCCATAATGAGATCTGGTGCCCTCTTCTGACTTGTAGGCATACATACAGACAGAACACTGTATACATAATAAATAAATAAATCTTAAAAAAAAAAGGAAAGGAAAGCAAATACCAGAAGAAACCCTAAAGCTGTTTTAGGACTTCTCCCAGATTGGGACAGGCCTGGGATGCTCACACACAGAGATGTAAGGATGTGGGGTGTGTGAGTATGAATATATAGCCTCCCATTGTGTGACTTCCTAGCATATGCTCAACTGTGTATTTATCTCAGACACTGACTTTTTTAGTTTCAAAATGTGCAACATATTTTAGATGCTTGGGTTTGAAAGTGGCCTCTTATAAGCTGTGTCAACAGCCAATGTGTGCAGCATAACTGTCCTATTTATAAGATAATTACAAGGTGGCACTGGCTTAACAAAATACCACAAACCGAGTCCCTTAATAGGACAAAAATGGATCCCCTACCTGGCCCTGGTATTAAACGCAGGGCCTCAAGGTGGCTAGGCAAACACCACTACTGAGCTACATCCTTCAGCCACCTTTTTACTTTTTACTTGGAGACAAGTATCTCTCTAAGTTGCCCAGACTATCCTTGAGTCCATTGCAGTCAAGGTTGGACTTGGACTCGGGGTCCTACTGCCTTGTTTTCCTGAGAACCTCGGGTGACATGCCTGCACCACCAAGCCCTCCCAGAGATGTTTCTGGAAGTCTGAAACCCGGAAGTGGGCAGACCGTGCTGTGTCTGAAGGCTCGTGAGGAGTCTGTCCCCTGTTGTCCCCTGAGCTTTGGAGTTGCTGGCATTCATGGCTACCCCTTGCTTTGTAGGCATATGGTTGCAGTGACTTCTTAGCCGTCTCCTCCTAGTTGTGTTATCCCTCTGTATGTCTGTCTCTGGGGTCAAGCCCTGAGAGCCATGACTTCATCTTACGTTAAGCTGAATTGTAAAAGGCCCTTTCTTCCAAGGTCCCATTCATATTGTAAAGGTCCCATTCATAGGGAGAGGGGGTTAGAATTTAACATCTCTGTGCTTTGTTGTTGTTTGGTTGGTTCTTGGTTTTTGGCTTTTTGCTTTTTGGGAGACAGGATTTCTCTGGGTAACAGCTATGCCTGTCTTGGAACTCACTTTGTGCACCAGGCATGAACCACCACTGCCTGACTGAATCTGACAGATCTGTTTGTGGATGAAATACAACTCTTTTCATTTGTCTTTTTTTTTTAAGATTTATTTATTATGTATACAATGTTCTGCCTGCATGTATGCTTGCACACCAGAAGAGGGCACCAGATCTCATTACAGATGGTTGTGAGCCACCATGTGGTTGCTGGGAATTGAACTCAGGACCTTTGGAAGAACATCTAGTGCTCTTAACCTCTGAGCCATTTCTCCAGCCCCAAAATACAACTCTTAATACAGATTTTCCAAACTATTCATCCAGACCTGTAATCCAAGGAGGATCACAAGTTCAAGACTACTGTGGGCTACAGAGAGAATTCAAGGCTAGTCTGAGCAATAGATGAGACCCTACTAAAAACTAAAAAATATAAAAAGGGCTGGAGGTATATAGCTCAGTGGTAAAGTGTTTGCCCAGCAGGTGCAGGGGCATAGGTTTAATTCCCAGCATTAGGAAAAAAGCAATAATTTGCAGTATGCTTGGGTAGGATGGCTCAGAAGTGGTGTCCAACTTTAAGGTTACTTAGCAGTTATTTCTTGGTCCCCAAGGTGGCTCCATGACACCTAGATACTTGTAGCATATTTCCTGCTGACACAATGAGAAATGGATTTTTGTTATAGTTTTGAAGTCTCACACTGTAGCCCATGCTGGCTCAAACTTGTATCAGTCCTGGTTCACAACCATCTGGAATGAGATCTGGTGCCCTCTTCTGGCATGCAGGCAGACATGCAGGAAGAACACTGTATACATAATAAATAAATAAATAAATAAATAAATAAATAAATAAGAATGAAAGCTACTGTGCACAGCCATTATGCGGCTCACATAGGGAGACAGGGTCCACTTTGGCTCACAGTTCAAGGCTACAGTCCATCATGGTGGGGAGGTTACATCAGCAGGCTGAGTCATCCACAGTTAGGAGGCAGAGAGAGAGATGGTTTTCTTCAGCCCCCCCACTTTGTTTTTGTTTTTTCCAGACAGGGTTTCTCTGTATTGTTTTGGAGGCTGTCCTGGAACTCGCTCTGTAGACCAGGCTGGCCTCAAACTCACAGAGATCCACCTGCCTCTGCCTTCCGAGTGCTGGGATTAAAGGCGTGCACCACCAATGCCTGGCTTCCTCTTCCCCTTTTTATTGGGTTCAGGACTCCAGAACAAGGGAAGTTGCTGCAAACAGTTAATAAGGGTCTTTCCTTGTCTGTTAACCTAATCTAGATAATCCCTCATACGGGAGCCCAGTCTTGTCTCCTGGTGATTCTGATTCCTGTTAGGTTGTTAATTACCCCACCATCACAGGGGTGCTGGCTCCACAGGAGGGGCACAGGAAGGTCCGAAGAAGCTCCCTCTTGGTCTTCCCCACACTCCATGCTATGCGTGCCTCTTTATTGCTGTTAATCTGCCTCCTTCTCTGGTGCTGTTTCAATGTGAAATGCCTTCCACAGACTAGTCCGTTTGAATACTTGTTTTCAACACTCTTAAGACAGTTGGCACTCTTTTGGGAAGTTGTGGACTTCGAGACAGGGTTTCTCTGTTTTGGAGGCTGTCCTGGAACACGTTCTGCAGACCAGATTGGTCTCGAACTCACAGAGATCCACCTGCCTCTGCCTTCCGAGTGCTGGGATTAAAGGCGTGCACCACCAGCGCCCAGCAGGAAGTTGTGGAACTTTTAGGAGGTGTGGCCTAGCTGGGGAAAGTGAATGGTTCGTCACCCAGCTTTGTGCGCTGTAGTCTAGACCACTTCCTGTCATTTCTGTTTGTGTTCCCTATTCCTCCAAAATATGAAGGGTCAGAGTTAATGCCTCCACCGACATGGGCGCAGCCATGCCTTTCCTGGCATAATGGACTTTAGCCTCTCAAATCATGAGCCAAAATAAATTCTTCCTCCCTTGGCATTTGGTGGCTACACTGCCACAGTGACCAGAAAAGTAATTGCTTGAGTATCCCACCAGAACTGCATCAAGGGTGGAATTTGCAGGTGTTCTTTGTCTGAGGACCCAGGTGTGGCGCTCTCAGGGTCGGAATAGGTGATCCGTGTGCTCGCCTTATTCTGATTGCTTTTGCTGTCAATGTGTGCCGTGATGGTGAATTTAAAATTTTGTTTTTTCGCTGTTGAGCATAAATCTAGGGTATGGTAAGCAAGGGCTAGCCACTGATCTGTAGCCCCAGCTCCTCAGTTCTTTAAATAAACAAAAAGAGCGAAAGTGAAGAAATCGGAAAGGGCGGACAGCGTGCTAAACAGTCTAACCTCTCAGCAAGAGGACTTAGGCCAGGCCCCGCCTCCAGATGTAACCACGCCCACCCCGCCCCTCGCGAGGGCCCGCCCAGACGGCCGGGGTCCCAAGGGAGGGGGTGGGGCAGGCGCAAGCGCAGAGAGCGCGGGCGCGGTTGCCGTGGTAGCGCCTGCCCGAGGGAGGGCGGCGGCGCGGGGCCAGGACCCCGGCTGGCAGAGGCAGCGACGCGGCCACCCGAAAGTGTGCGGTCGGGCAGCTGAGAGGCGGGCGCCCCGCCCTACTGGCCGGTGGGGATGCGAGACCGGTTGCCCGACCTCACGGCGGTGAGCGGCGCGCCGGATAGCGGTCCGGGCCGGCGGGCGGGCTGCTGAGGGTCCGGGGCAAAGACCCCGGGAAGAGAGATGATGGGGGAGGGACTCAGTAAAGGGAGTCCAGGAGCAACACCCTAGAAGGACCCTGAGTAGAGGGGCCGGGAGGGGAGCCCAGGGAAGAGAGCTTGGGGAAGAACACCCCGGGAGGGACCTGGGCAGTGTTTCTAGGAGGGTTCCAGGTGTCCTGGGGCCTCCAGAGGCACCAGGGTCTCCAGGGTGGTTGGGAGTAGTCTTCAGGAAGGACCCAAGCGGCCTCCGAGTAGGGTTCCAGGGAGTGGGCTCCAGGGTTTCCAAGAGTCACAGGATGCACAGGAGGGACCCGAGCAGTGTTTCTGAGCAGGGTCTCAGGGGAAAGGCTCTAGGTTTCCTGGGATCATCAAGGGTGTTAGGGTGGGGTATCAGGAGGGTTGCTGGGTGAAATCTCCATGGGTCCCTGGGCAGGGCTGTGAGTGGGTTCCTGGGGGTTCCCTGGGTTCCAAGGGACTCGGGTTGTCGGGACTCTAGGTGTGGGCAATGGGAGATGTCCAGAGCCTTTTGCTGGCTGCATCCCAGAAGGGCTCTGTCTTCTGGGCTCAGGTTCCAGTAGGTGTCTGGGAGGTGGGTTCTTTCTGCCTGCCTTGGCACTATTCCCCCCGACTGCTGTGGACCGATGTTTGGGCCAGGATCCCTTTGTCCCGTAACAGGGCAGATTTCAGTAGGTGAGAGTGTGGTTCAGGGTTTTAGGCCAGGACCAAGGGCTGGGCTTGGACCTCCTGGCCTGGGCTGATGTTTGATGTCTGTTTGGGACTCACCGTGGTGCTGCCTGCCTGGTCTTTTTGCGAGGCTCTTATCACAACCTCTCCAACTGCCTGCCCCACCCTGTAGGGTCCCTTTTCCCGCTGCTTGTGTCATGGCCAAATCCAGAATGCTGTACCAAGGGTCCCTCACAGACACTCCACACAAACTTGGAGCTCAGGAACTAGGTGCCTGGTGCCATCAGATTGATCCACAGCTGTCTTAGGTATTTCCCCAGTGCACTGGGGACCAGAAAAGTGGTTTACACTTTAAGACGAGGCTTTAAGTCACTAGTGAGTATTGCAGCAAGAGAAAGGCCGAGCTTTTTAAAGGGGAAAGGGGGCTTACGCCATGTATCTACATTTGTAGTGGACACAGTCATTATACCCACTTTTGGGGTACAATGTGACATGTATGCAGTGTGGGCCCAGTCAGGGTGATTGGCCATACCTCTGATGTTTCTCATTTCTTTGGGAAGAGAGCTTCGAGACCCTCCTCAATAGCTACTTGCAGGCATCGACCATAGTCACCCGCTGCGATGCAGAGCATGGGAAGGCATTTTTCCTCTCCAGCTGGACCCCAGAGCCACCTGTCTATACTGTCCCTTGTGCCCTTCCCAGGCCCTGCAACCATTCTGCTTGCTACTCCCCGGAGAGCAGCCTTTAACAGCTACACATGCAGCATTTGTGTTTCTGCGCTGATTTGCCTTGTGACCCTCACACACCTGGGGGTCTTTTGCAGGATCCAGGTAGAAAACCTGGGAAGGGAAGGAAATAGCTCCCAGTGCTGGACTCTGGCAGGTTTTATTGACAGCCCCGAGGCGCAGCAGTGGGTGGTGCCCTCTAGTGTCTCAGTTCTAGGCACCAGGAGAGGCCCCTGAGCAAGTGTGACCTTGACAGCTGCTAGAACTGTCTCAGCTGAGCTCTGAGACCCTTGTCCCTAAAGACTTGACAGCTCTCTGGAACTCTCTCTGGACCTTAAAGACTTGTGTGCACCTCCGGCTCCGCTCTGTCGCTCTCTGCTCCTTCCTGTCACGCCCTGGAACTCGGCTGCTTCCCCCTGTGCAGCCACTGCCCCTTTGGCTGCTTCTGCTTCTGCCCCTAGTGACCCCGGTCTCGCCGTTCCTCCCTTGTAGCTGCCGTGAGTCAGTGTGCCGTCAGGCTGTCTGCTCCACTGTCGGAACTGCTGCCTCCGCCTTTCTCTGCTTCCAGAGTCCCTCCTGCCCCACTGGAAGTGCATGGGGCAAGGCCACTACTCCAAAGACGCTTGCATGGGCTGTACCCCACTCACCAAATGAGCTCTGAGTGAGCTGGACAGCCTGGTTGTCTAGACAGGGGGAAAGTGGGTACCAATCACAGACCTCCTTTGCAAGTGAAGGTTTGTGTTTATACCGATCCCAGCATTTCATCTTTAGTATCCAGCCTGCCAATTTAGGGGGACATGGCTAGAGGGTTATCTAGAGTTCACAAAGGCCTGTGATAGCAAGAAGTTGAGTGCAGACTGAAAACCCTGGCAGAAGCCATGCCTTTAGGAGCTGGAGCAGTCAGCTGCAGGCATTGTGTAGGCTCCTCAAAGCATGCAATGTTCAACATGGCTGATCCTGGCCTGGGGTAGTCCAGATGGCTGTTTGACAGACAGTCCCTTTGCTTAAGGCAGCTGGAGCAGTGGGAGAGTCAACTGCCTCAATGTCCCAGTGTCTTTGCTTGTTGATAGGAAGATGAACTTTAGAAAGAATGCTTATGATGAAAACCTTAAGAACATGTCATTGTCTCCAACGCTAACTTAACAGTGCTTTAGCTATGTATATCGTTTTCTCAGGGCCCGAGGACTGGTCCCCCTTGTCTCACTGTCATTCCCTGTAACCAGCTTCTAGTCCCATCCATACTGCTGCACATGAAGTGTCAATCTTTCTAGGGTTGAATTGTATTAAAAGTGACTTGACTTCATGCATTCCACTGTGTAAAGATGCTGCCATTGTGAACGTGGTGGTCGCTGTGAAACTGGAGTTGGGGATGATAGAATGGGCCAGAGTTGAGACTCGCAAGGCCACCAGGATCAATGGAACTTCTTCCCTCCTGAAAACACAGGAGTGATTTCTGCTGGTTGTGGCTGGGTTTGCTTTTGCAACGGAAACACAGCTTCTGCTCTCTGAATGGTTGCAGCCTTGGAGCAGGGTCTGAGGCCCTCTACCCTAAGGCCTGCTTTCTTAAATGTTTCCACGGGTGACCCCTTTTCACTTGAGAAACTTTAACATGATCCTGCATATGTAAGTCTGTAAAACAAACGGAGCATTAACTGATGATGATAAATCATAGATGTATCTGAACAATTCCTTGGTATCCATATACTTATGTATCAAGGATGACAGCGAATGAGATGAATATGTTTGTTTTACATAAGGAAGTAAGCCTTGGCTGAATATTTGATACTAAGGATTCAGAGCACAGTGTTGCTATTTTGATTTTATAATAGTCAATGCCCCAAAGCCCCTCCGTGTACCTAGATGAGTAGAACAGATGGCAGAAGGGTGCCGAGGGCCAGCTCAGAAGTTGTTGGGAAAACAACTGTCCCGATTCCAAGCCTGACTGATTTTTTAAATGGAACTCAAGTCAACAATTCAAACGGCAATTCAAAAACAAACGCATAAACTTGCTGTGTATTGAGTGTGCACCACAGTGCGCATGTGGCAGTCAGAAGACAACTTGGAGTTGTTTCTGTCTCCACCGTTTGAGTTTTTAGTCGCACTGAGGTTGTCAGGTTTGGTGGCAGGTACACTGAGCCATCTTACCGGCCCCAGGAAGTCATTCTTTATTCCAGGGTTTTCAGAAATAGGAGGACATGTGAATCAGCGGGCTGGGGAGATGGCTTAGTTGGTAAAGTTCTTGCCTTGCAAGCGTGAGGACGATGGGGTCAGTCCTCAGAAGCCACATTCTAAAGGCACCATTGCACACCCTGAGTTCTAACTCTGGGGAGGTGGAAATAGGCCGATTCCTGGGATCCCTGGAGTTCAGGGCAGTGAGAAAGGCTGTTTCAAAAATCCAGGAGGACAGTGCCTGAGGAATGACAGCTGAGGTTGTTGCCTGGCTTTCACATACACATACACTGGGGCGGATGCTTCTCCCTACACATCGTCTGTGTGTTAGACACAACCAGTGTGTGCCTTGCCTTTCTTGTAGGATTTTGGACCCGGAAGTGACTTCATGGTCCAGTGCCCTGCCATTTCCACACAAGCACCGGGCGGCTAGAGAGCACTAGTGAGAGCTTCCACCCTGGAGCGCAGGCACAGGATTTGTGAACCTTAGTTGTTTTGTGTAGCGCTGCGGATAGAACTCAGGGCTTTGTGGAAGCGCAGCAAGTGCTCTCCCACTGAGCACCATCCCCTGTGCAAGTCATTTATATACAGAACTCTCAGTACTTCGATTTTCTTGTCTGACAGCTGTCTTTCTGCCTCTCAGACAGAGGTGTGTATCTAACACGAGCACCTCTGGGACAAGGAGGCAAGTGCCACAGGCTTACACTGTTGATGCCTACTAGGTTTTCCATTGTCAGGAAGTTAGAAAAAGCCACTGTCTCTTTAACATCCCTAAGTATGAAATTATCTGAATTGAATTTGACATGTTTGAAGTAACTTGTTTGTTTTCTTCTTGGTTGGGGAGGTTTGGGAGATGGTCTCACACTGCGGCCCAGGCCAGTTAGGAACTTACTATGTCCCCTAGGCTGATGTTGACCTCCCAGCAAGCCTCCTGCCTCAGCCTCCCCACGCTGGGATGACAGGCATGAGATGCAAGTCGGTGGTGGCCCATGGCTGTAATTGCAGCATTTGGGAGGTGGAAGCAGAAGGGGCAGAAATCTAGGGCCTTCTGAGTTCATAGCTTCTGTCCTGAGCTACATAAGACCTTGTTTCAAAGGACAAATGAAAAGGGCTCCTTACCAGATAAATTGAATTTTTGTTTAGTGAAATGCATTCTTTTTTTCATGTAGTTTAGAATGGGTTGCCTGCCTCTTCATGCCATATATCCAAATGCTGCTTTTTCATAGATAAGATCTAGTGCTTAATTTTGTGGTTAAAATGGCTGAACCACAATGGCCATAGTGACCCAGAGTTTGAGGTTTAGCAGAAAGGTTCCTCATTGGCTGTGTATGCATCCACCTGAGGAAAAGGTACTCGTGGTGATCACCTGTGAAGGACTTAAAAATTATCTTATCTGAATGGCCGTGATCCCAGTGCTTGGGAGCTTGAGGCAGGAGGCCCTGAGTTCCAGGTTAGCTTGAGCGATGTAGTTAAGCCCTTACTGCAAAAGGCTATTAATCGTGGGAAGTGGTTTGCACTCACAGATTTTGTATGGGCTGAAGGAAGCTTCCTGCTTTGATCCCCTGCTCATTCAATGCAAAACCTGGAGCAACTTGCCTGAGATTGCTTTGACTCTATGTCCAGCGTGGTTGGGTCTTTGACTAATGGACGTACAAGCACAGAGAGAGTGCCCTGTCTGAGCTAGATGCAGCACTAGAGACAGACTTGAAGTGGATTGGCTGTGTGCCGTGGATCCCCAAGGTTGCGGGAGGAAGAGTGAGCTGCATTTTAGGGTGTTAGTAAATCAGAGTGGATCAGGTCATGTATAAGAGATTCTGGGTTTTCCTGTATACAAATGATTTCCTGTTTTTTCTTAGGCTACATCTAACCTCTATGGCCTGAGAGCATCTGCCATGGCCAGACTTCCTCTTGGCCTCTTGGCTGCAGGATGAGCCCGCTTCCTGACAGCTTCCCTAGCCCTGCATGCCTCTCTCTCAGCCTTGCTCGCACCTTCACCACCAGGAAGTCTCTGTCTGGCTTTTCTCTGTGTCCTTGGCAATAGTCACCTTCTGTCCCAGTGGCCTGCACAGAGGTGCAGAATGGTGTCTCTCCATGTGTCCTTGACTCCCTAATCACCCTTTCTTGAATTGCTGCCGCCATTTCCTTGTGTTCTGAGACGTTGGGTACACTTTCAGGCCATGGCTCATTCTCAGAGAGGATTGTCAGAAATGGGGTACTTGAGGTGCTCACTGCCTCGGGGCAGTGCGTGGTACCCACAGGCAGCCTTTCCCCTCCCTCCCTTCCTTCCCTGTTTCCTTCCTTCCTTCCTTCCTTCCTTCCTTCCTTCCTTTCCTTCCTTCTTCCCTCCCTCCGTCCCTCCCTCCCTCCTTCCTTGCTTTCTTCCTTCATCTGACTTGTTGTATATTCCAGGTTGGCTTAGAGTTTACCGTGTAGCCCACTGTGGCCCCAAACTCAGGATCCTCCCACCTCTGCTTCCCAAGTGCTGGAATTGTAGGCATGCCCCGCCAACACTAGTTTTTTTGTTTTTCCTTCTCATAAACAAGATCTCACTGGGTTGTACAGGGTGGCTTCAAGTTGCTTTTTTGAGACAGGACCTCTGTGTAGCCCTGGTTGTCTTGGAACTTGCCATGAAGATCAGGATGGCCTTGAACTCACAGAAACTCACCTTCCTCTGCCTCCCAAGTGCTGGGGTTAAAGGCATATGGCATTATTGCCCGGCTTCTGGCATCAAATTTGAGCTCTTCCTGCTCCAGTTTCCAAAGGCATTTGAGGCTTCATGTGTGCAATCAGGGTTCCAGCGCCTCTGAAAGCCACGGCTAAAATTTCTCTTTGCATCTTGTAGATTCTGAGACACTGGCATGTATGTCCCCTGTGCCACCTTCTGCTTTGTCTCACAGTTGTCCCCTTGCTCTGTGACTGTCTCAGCTTAATGATTGCAGCCCACGCTCGTCTGGAGTGAGCCAGCCTAACCTGACATGCCAGGGCCCCTGTCTCAAATGTGATTTCCCTGCTTAGGGCTGTTGGGACAGCCTGCCATATTTCAGCACTGTCCTTAATTTGAGGCATCTGGGAGAGCAGTGTATTGACCGACAGTGTGACCTGGGCTCTGAGGAAACGTCACACAGAAGGGCATCTATGGGCTAGGAAGACAGGATGTAGGTGTGTGGCCCTGAGGAACGGGGGTGGGGGGGGGCTGTGCTAAGCTTCATGTGTATATAAGGCATCCTTTTAGATGATGTCCCTTTTTTATTAAGCTGGTCCTGGCTATGTGGTCTCATCTCCCTAGTGACAAAGGTTCCTCTCATACTCCTTCCTCTATCTTAGAGCCACACTCCCGACCTTAACTAACCAGCCATCTTATCCATGCAGACAGCACTAGAGGAGGTGCCTGAGATGTGGAAAGAGCTGATCAAGCCTAAGTGAGGGTCCTGGGGGTACTGAGAGAGGCGGAATTTGTTGTGCTTTCATACCATAGTTCCTTACTTTCATTTCCCTTCTCTTTTGGGAAAGAGGATCTCTTTATGTGACCCTGACTGCCCTGGAACTCACTATGTAGACCAGGCTGGCCTAGAACTCAGAGGTCCCTGCCTCTGTCTCCTGAGTGCTGGGATTAAAAGGTGTGAGCCACACTGCCCAGGCTTTAACACATTTCTTAAATTTGCAGATTTTTCTTAGCTGGGAATTGTAGTAGGATTTTGTTTGCAAGGCTTCCTGGGTGGTAAAGGAATATTGCCACTGCCATGTGTCAGGCCTTCAGGGTAAGGACTTGATTCCCTAAGCAGTGGAGACAGGTTCCTAAGATGCCTTGCTGGGCTTGGCTAGTGCTGACTCATGGGGCTGCCCTGAGGGAGAGAGCTCAGCAAGTCCCTCCCCTGTGCCTCGTGGCAGGCTGGGCTCAGCAGTGGGATTTAGAGACCAGCTTGGGGGGTTGGGGGAGCTTAGAGCTGCTTCCGGCTAATTTAGAGTTGTCTGTGCTGCTATAGGCTTTGACTGCTTGGAAGGGAGGCTTCCAGGCGGGCTACTGAGTGTAGTGCAGGCATCCCTCTAGCATCCTGTGCAGACACAAGGCCCCAGGCCTCAAAGGCAGCCACAGCTGGGCTATAGTACATCATGCAGCACTCTCAGGGGTAGGCAGTGCCTGATTCTGTGGGTCTTTGACACTGTTTTAGGCCGTTTCTAAAATGCAGCTCCATCCATTTTAACTGTGTCTGCGTTGCCACCATGGTCTTCCCAAGTGTTACTTGGTCCTGTCTTCCCCAACTCCTCTTTCCTCGTCAGAGTGTTTATTATTATTATTAAATCACCTTCTTAGAAAGTAAGGATACCAGCTGACACACCTCGGAAGTTACTCTACAAAAGTTAGCCAGTGCTGTCAGCAGTTTTGTTTGTTTTTTGATAAGGGCTCCTGTTTCCCAGGCTGGCCTTGAACTCCGCTGTGTAGTGGAAATTGACCTGGAACTTGGATTGTTCTGCCTCCACCTCTCTCAAGGGGTACACCACCAAACCCAGTAGCATTTTTAAAAGAGTGATTTGTTTGTTTTTGTTTTTGGAGACAGGGTTTCTCTGTGTAGCTCTGACTATCCTGGAACTCGATCTGTAGACCAAGCTGGTCTGCCTGTCTCTGCTTTCTGAGTGTTGGGATTAAAGGCGTGTGCCACCACCACCTGGCTTAAAGAAAGAGTTTTTCATATATATTTTATGTATATGGGCGTTTCTCTTTCATGTTCATCTGCACACCAGAAGAGGGTATCAGATCCTATGGGTGTGAGTCTGGGAATTAAAGTTATGACCTTTGGAAGAGCAGCCAGTACTCTTAACCACTGAGCCATCTCTCCAGCCTCCACCTCCAGTAGCATTTTTAACTTTTCACTACAGGTATAATGATGGAACCCAGTGTTAAGAGAACTTGCTTAGAACGCTCAGAGCCCAGAATCAGTACCCAGGATGAGTGTGTGTGTGTGTGTGTGTGCGCGTGTGCGCGCGAGCACACGCTTCAGTTCTTAGGGACAAACCTGTTTTGAGTGGCCCCAGCTGAGGTGAAGACGAACACATCTGCATGGTATCTGGTCTTTGCTGCCTTCCTGGGCTCCCCCCTTCCCCTGTTGGTGTCACCTGTCACAACAGGAGAAGCTGCAGAATTAGATGGTTGCAGGATGTGGAGTGTGGCTTCTCTGCTGCACTTGATGTCCAGTGCTGAGGTGCTGTGGGTCCCGTGTCACTGTTCAGCCTCTGTGACACTTTGGAAATGTGCTCTATTCTAGTGTAGGAAAAACGACGATGGAGACACTACTGTCGTCATTGTTGAAAAGGACCAGTTCATGGATGATTTCTTCCATCAGGTATGTATTTAATGACGTGCAGTCTCCGCCTTTACCTTTGGCCTTATACACCTTACTATAGCAGTGTCTGTCGTCACATGTAAAACAGCACACCCGTGCACCCTGGAACTGTGTTTTGGCTAATGGTGGACATTATATCTGACTGTGGTACCATGAGGTCTTGCCACTGGTGCCATCGAAGTCATCTGTACTCCATGTCATTCCTACAGGGAAGTCACCCAGCCACATAGATGGTCCTCAGAGTGCCCATATCATTACTGACATGTGACTCTACTTTTGCTTGTTTGAATTTGGAGTTTTGACTAATGTTTCCCTGTGTGGCCCAGGTTACCTTTGACCACCCCACCCCCAATCCTGTTGTCCCAGCCTTCTGAACGTGGCTGTTTTTAAAGTTGTTTGAAATGTGTGAGTTCTTTGGGACTTTCAGAGTCAGGACAGATTCAAGTGACTGTTCATGCAGCCCTGGGAGGGAGGGCTGAGTAAGCCCGAGGGAGGGAGGCACCGTGGATTAGGAGCGGTGCACCTGGGCGGTGGGCCGGGCTCAGGACTTGCTGCTCTTTCTCTGACTTGGAGCTGCAGTGACCCAGGCAGTGCTTCCTCCCATGGGAAGCCAGCCACACCTCTGGAGTGGCTTTTTAAAGGGTCTCACCACGAGACTTGTGGCCTCCCAGGAACCCAGGCTCTTTGGTTATTTGGAAGCAGGAATCCTGGCTTCAAGCTCAGTGTCTGGGGCCACTTTTGCTGGTGGAGTTGGTCATGTGTGAGGCAGGGCCTTGTGTTCCGAAATCATTGACTGAATTTATTCATCTGGATTCTCCGAGAAGCACACGCTGCATTTGTTACAGACTTTACTTTGTACTTTGTTCCTGAGAAGTGATGCCTTAGGCAGAGAAACGCTCAGGGTTTGTTAATGTAAGGCCTCTGGTGGAAAAGCCCTCTAGACTGTACTCATCACATAAACGATGTAGACGACAGAATTTGCTCCTGACCAGGGAGGGTTTGGTTAAAAACCAATAAAGCAAGATCCTGAGAAGATAATTTTAAGGGACGGAGGAGCCCTGTGTGGGGCAGCTGGCCGTCTCAGGCTGGACCAGCATCATGACCACCATGTCCCTCCTATGGAGCTCCTTCCAGGGCACTGGGGCCCACAACTGCCTTTTTCTGGAACAGCCAATCTGGTGTCAGCTGTGAAGACGGGGGAGGGTAGAGACTCTCTAAGCTAGGCTGCCCCCTTTACTTTCCAACACATGGGGCATCACTGTTGCCTTGAAAGTGACATTTTTGCCCAGCGGTGGTGGTGCATGCCTTTAATCCCAGCACTTGGAAGGCAGAGGCAGTCGGATCTCTGTGAGTTTGAGACCAGCCTGGTCTACAGAGCTAGTTCCAGGACAGCTTCCAAAGCCACAGAGAAACCCTGTCTCAAAAAACAAAACAATAACAACAAAAAGGCATTTTCAAATGCAAATCAAAATCTCATCTCTAAACTGCAACCAGCACTAGTCCTTGTTTTCAGACTCCATAGCAACACAGCCAGATGGTAAAGTAATCCATTTTTATTAAATACAAAAATTTGTATTTATGGGTGGTTTGCCTGTGCTTCACATGCATGCAGTGCCCACAGAGGTCAGAAGAAGGTGTTGGGTCCCCTAGAATTATAGTTATCAATGGTCGTGAGCTGCTATGTGGGTGCTGGGAATTGAACCCAGGTCATCTGGAACAGCAGCCAGTGCTCTAACTGCCCAGCCATCTCTCCAGCTCCAAGAACTAGCTTTTATTGTGTTTCCATGGTTACTATATCTACACTCCCTAGTATGTGTGGTCCGTGCTTCTCTAGTAGCAGTGGCAAATGAGATGGCCCTGGGCCACCGCAGCCTTACGGAACCACTGCTCTGCCCTGCAACAATTACATATTGGATTTCTCTTTAATACCTTGATTTTTCAGAATGTTTCTGGGACTTGGGCCATGGTTTCCTGGGTCCCCATACCACTCTTTAGCAGGGTCACAGTGACACTGAGGTGTGCACCTCTTCACTCCTGCATCCCAGGAAGGTGCAGGGACAGAGTTGTTTAGCTACGGTACCTTGGGACACAGAGCCACTCTTCCTTCATAAACTAGAAAGCTGATCTATATATAATATGCCTTGTTGTGTGTAGTTTCACTGATCTGGAGGTATATTAATTATTTTTCTGTTGCTGCAATTAATCACCATGACCAAGAAGACTGACAGAGGAGAGAGTTTGTTTGGGCTTATGGTTCCTCAGCGATAAGAATCCATTGTGGCAGAGAGGTGTGGCAGGAAGTTGCAGGCATGGCAGCTGCAGCAGCAGGCTGAGAGCTCACATCTTAAACTGCATGCACCCCCGCCCCCAGTGACATACTGACACCTCAGAAGCCTCCCCAAACTGGATACCACGTATTCAAATACGGGAGCCCATGGAGGACATTCCCACCCACACCACTGCAAGAAGGAAAGTACTTTTTCAGAAAAGCGTGCAAGTGTGTGTTTCCTTTTTGCTGTGACAGGTGACTGGAAGATTGGGGGCTGTAAGCAGCACATACTGTCTCCTAGCTCCAGAGCTATCTGTCTTGAGTGAGTGTTACAGGTTGATGTCAAGCTAAGATTTAAACTGCAGAGGAGTGATGGCGTACACCTGGGCTCTGGAGAGTACTTTCTCGGTTTGCAGCCCCTCCTTCTGAAGGCACAGTGCGCATGCGTCTCTCACCGTCACATCTTCCCTTCCTAACAGTGAGTGTGTCCTTAGTCGCGGCTGTGTAGGGACCAGCTGGATCACCTAGGGTCTGAATTAGGGTTCCATTTCTGTGAAGAGGCACCATGACCATGACCACAGCAACTCTTTTTTTTTTTTAAGATTTATTTATTTATTATGAATACAACATCCTGCCTCTATGTATGTCTGCACACCAGAAGAGGGCACCAGATCTCATTACGGATGGCTGTGAGCCACTATGTGGCTGCTGGGAATTGAACTCAGGACCTCTGGAAGAGCAGTCAGTGCTCTTAACCTCTGAGCCATCTCTCCAGCCCCCCACAGCAACTCTTACAAAGGAAAATGTTTCATTGGGGCTGGCTCAGAGGTTCAGACATTGTCATTATGGCAGGAAGCATGGCGGCATGCAGGCACACATGGTGCTGGAGAAGTAGCTGAGAGTTCTGCATCTGGAGTGGCAGGCGACAGGAAGAGAGAGTGGGCTTCCAGAACTAGCTTGAGCTTCTGAAACCTCAAAGCCCACCCCTAGTTAAGTACTTCCTCCAATCCTTTCAAACAATGCCAGGCCCTGTGAGTATGTGGGGACCATTTTCATTCAAACCATCACTCCCAGGATAACGTCCCAGCTCGGACCTTAACAAACCTGTGAAGTCCTTTCTCCAGCATGGAAGTGGCCATGGATCTCCGCATACAATGGCTGTAATGATAGAATTATTTTAAAGTGAAGGAAGGAGAAGGAATTGGCAGCGCTCCTCCTGCCTCGGCTGCCCTGTGGCTTCCTGTGTAGCCAGGTTCTATCTGGGTCTAACCTGGATATCCCCACCAACCTCCTCATCTCAGATTTCTAGTTGAATCTATGTAGGCTCCTTTGCTAATGTAACAACCACAGGGCCCAGGACATCTTCAGGCCCCCATTGTTGAGTGACCTCAGAGTTTGAAGATGTAAGTCCATCCGAAAGACTCGTGTAGTGAGTTGCTTACATCATGTACACACTCTGGAGGCTGAAGGGTTGGTCATGAAGGGCTGGCCAGCTGGATGGTGAGCGCTTCTTTCTGGGAGGGAGGGTGTTCCCTTGCCTTTTCCCGTGGCCGTGGGGTGCTCACTGCTCTGCTTTAGGGAGTCATTTGCCTCTACTTAGTGGGTGGTATGTGGATTTTTGCAGCATATAGTTTTGCTAGCAAATGTTGCTTTAGCCCTAACAGTAGGAATGTAGTGGATTTCTGTTCTTTCTACATTTTAAATTGTGTGTGTGTGGACTCACTTGCATACTATACCAGGCAAGTGGAAGTCAGGGTAACTTTTGGGATTTGGCTCTCTCTTTCCACCATGGGTCTCAGGGATCAAGCTCCGGTTGTCAGGTTTGGTGGTGAGCACCTTCACCCACTGAGACTTTTTTTCTTTTGGTTTTTCAAGACAGGGTTTCTCTGTGGCTTTGGAGGCTGTCCTGGAACTAGCTCTTGTAGACTAGGCTGGTCTCAAACTCACAGAGATCCGCCTGCCTCTGTCCCCTGAGTGCTGGGATTAAAAGCCACCACAGACCTGCTTTTTTTTTTAATTGATAATCACAGTGACAGCAGAAGTGACGCTCATTCTTTACATGGGATTACATGCGTTCCTCCTCTCCAGCTTCCCTCTTGGGAGATGGACAGCCTTGGCGGCTTTGACCTTACCCCAGTGTCTCCCCAGGTGGAGGAGATTCGAAGCAGCATAGCCAAGGTTGCTCAGCACGTGGAGGACGTGAAGAAGAACCACAGCATCATCCTTTCTGCCCCAAACCCAGAAGGAAGTAAGTCCGCCTGCCTGCCTGCCCGCCTGTCTGTCTGTCTGTCCTCCAGCTTCCCCTTAGGTGGAGCATCTGAGTATGCCCAGCCCCCACAGCATTCCAGGGCATCTTTATGGTGTTTGAAAGCTCCCGAATAGTCCCAGTGTCGGGTCAGGGGAGGACCACTGCTAGGCAGGGTCCAAAGGATATGTGAGTGTCCCTGGTAGGACTCTGGCCATGATAGTGGCTCAGCCGGAGGTCTGCACCGTGCCCACTGATGAGGGATGGAGGATCTTGTGTTTGGGGATGTTAACAACAGGCGGGCTGATTTGGTAAGCAGTGGCTGCTTGCCAAAGCTGTGTTAGTGATGAAGACTGAGAGGAGATTCTGAGTCTGGAGGTCAGCTGTATGGCGTGTGTGCTCACAGTGTGTGAGGTGGGGTGAGGTGGGGCTGGGCTCAGATGGCATTTCCATCACACACACACACACACACACACACACACACACACACACACACACACACACACACACACACACACACCCTCTGTGCCTTAAGATGTCTGCATAATCTTTCTAAATCCTAGCTCTACTTAGAAATGTTGAATGCCTTTGTTTAGAAACTTTCAGTGTTGGTTACCACTTATAGAAAAAGCCAGAAAAGGAGGTCTGTGGCGCCTTCCCCAGTGCCTGGTCTCTTCTACACACTGTTACATTAGACCAACTCACCTTTTGGCCACTCCACTGCCCCCAGAGGAGCTAATCTGCATGTTTTCAGGCTGCATATTCTGCTTCCTCCTGGGGGAGCCTCAGAGTGTCTCTGGTTTCTAGTCACACTGGGGATTTGTTGGGCCTCCCTCGAATCTGCCAGGCCCCAGTGTGCAGCTCCTTGGATGTTTTTGTGACTTCACCTCAGATTTCAAGAAAGACTCTAGGTAGGGTCCCCCAGAGCCTTCATAGATGCTGTAGCGGTTCAGACATTGCTGTGGGACCGCCATTGTCACGTAGCCATCTGCTACAGGTGATCTTTTGCCCTGAGAATAGCTGGGCACCAGAGTTGGCTCTGGAGGTCTAGAGCCAGGTCTGCTGGAGAGTGGCATGTGTGGAGTGTCCGACTGAGCAACGAGGACTGGGAAGATGGTGACAACAGGAGGGACGTCCGGTGCCTGGGCAGGCCTTTTCCAGGCTGTGATTGTGCACACTCGGTGTCCTGGAGAAGGTTAGCAGGGGTGAGCCTGCGATTCCGGCTCCCACCAGCTGCACCTGATGGCACAGTTCAGGGAATACCGGGAGCCGGTCTGGCATGGCAGTGATAGCGGGGGGCAGCACACTTGGGAAGGCGCTGGGGAAGGAAAGCCTGGTGCGTCTGTGCTTGGCCTGCACGTGTAGTTGTTCAGGGGTGGAGTATCCCAGCTCAGGTGTTATATTTGAACCTTTTACAGAAATAAAAGAAGATCTGGAAGACCTGAACAAGGAGATTAAGAAAACCGCTAACCGGATCCGAGGCAAGCTAAAGTGTAAGTCTGCCTTCTTGGGGACTGGTGGGTGTGGACCTTGGTACCTTTTCCTTGGACTTCTATTACTCTTATATTTCCCAAAATGAAAGTTGAGACTACTTCCAAGTAGGTCGGATATGTGTATCTGGGCCGCTGGTTCCCATGCTACATCTCATTGTGGCTCTGTTGGTGACACTGAGAAAGAGGTACAGTAAGTCCCAAAGTTCTCAAATGGGTCTCGTAGCTAGAGTATGCTTTCCAGCTGCCTGGAGCCCGGCTGAGATCATGGTACTCTGCGTTCAGCATGACACCTGGCCTGGATGTGGGTTGTGGCTTTCTGCACAGAGCTTAGATAGAAGTTGCCTTCCTTGATCTGTGAGGAAAATGTGTTTAACTCACAGAGACACATCAAAAGAAGCAAACCCCATCTCTGCATGTCATACCTTCTTCTCAGGTGCAGCAACTCCATGGTGGCAGACATGTTGTCCAGGTCTCAAGGCAGACCCCGAGAGTGTGCACCTTAGAAACAATGTTGTTCCCAAGAGTACAACCACGTTATGTCTAATTCAGACACATTACAGTGACTGGATGTTTAAAGACACCTGGCACACCCCAAATGCTTACAAACACAAGTGCACACACATGTAAACAGAACCAGAGCAACACAGAGACAAACGTGCGTGCACAAACACAAGCACACAAATGCATAAATACAAACACACGGCCCATGCGCAGTCACATACCTTTATGCATATTTATGCAAGTTTTTGTTTTTTGTGTGTGTGTTTCTATACCCATGTGTGTTAGATGCGTACTCTTTCCCAACAGCTGCCTGGGTCCCATTGCTGCTTTCAGCCCCCAAATAACACAAGAGGCACTGTATTAATTATGGAACTGTTGGCTAATATCTAGGGCTTCTTATTGGCTAGCTCTGACTTAATTTCTAACCCATAACTACTAATCTGTGTATTTCCACGTAGTCTTACCTTACTGGAGAAAGGTCCGGAGACATGTTACTCTTCTCATGTCCTACATCAGACTCACTGGGCCTACACCTCCCAGAATCCTTCATGTCTCCTAGACCGCTTGCTTGTCTTGCTTCCCTATTGACCAACAGTGTTTTATTCATCAACCAATAAGAGAAACATACGTACAGAAGTCTTCCCCCATCACATGTGTTTTTGGTTTTGGTGTGTATGCATTCATTTATGTATGCAACTGTGTGCATGCTTGTGTGTTGGAATTTGTATATATGCCTACATGTGTGTAGACACAAGTGTCTGCATGTCTATCTACATGTCTGTCATCAAATACATATGCATGTACAGTATTATGGACATTTCTTTTGGTGGCTAGTCTTTAGAATAATGGTTCTCAACCTGTAGGTCTTGACCCCTTTGGGGATTGTATGGCCCTTTCACAGGGGTCACATGTCAGATATCCTGCATACCAGATACTTACATTGCAATTCCTAACAGCAGCAAACTTGCAGTTATGAAGTAGCAAGGAAAGTAACGTTATGCTTGGGGGGTCACCACAGCATGAGGAACTGTATTAAAGGGTTGCACATTAGGAAGGTTGAGAACCACTGCTCTAGAGGATTATTTGAAGAGGCCACCTGTTCTTTAGTGTTACGGAGAGACCTGAGGTCATCCTGAGACTGGCTGCTGCCATATCTGGGTGACTCTGCCCTGCTTCCTTCTAGCAATTGAGCAGAGTTGCGATCAGGACGAGAGTGGGAACCGAACTTCAGTGGACCTGCGGATACGGAGGACGCAGGTCAGTCTTCTGCCCTCACTTAGACTGGTGATGGAGGAGCAGTGTTGCAGTTTCAGGTTCTCATTGTGCCGGGACTGGAGCCAGTGCCCTGCATGTGCTCAGCTAGAGCTGTCGCCAAGCCACCTGAGCCCGGTTGTTTCACCTCCATGGCCGTGTTGCCCCCTCTCTGTGTCTGCACATGGGCTGCATCTCTTCACTGTGAGATGTCCCAGAAACCCACACGGTCTGTGCCGCAGAGCAGGGGACCAGCTGAATCATCTGGGTGTTAGTGGTTTGGTCTTAACTGTTTGGGGTTTATGGTTGAAACCTGGGAAGTTCACCCCTGTGGGACCAAGCCTGCCAGCTGGATTCAACCTCCCATGATGCCCAGCCCGGAGGTCAGCTGACTGCCACAGGGCACAGCTTATTTGGTATTGGTGGTGGTAGTGGTTTGTTTGTTTTTTGTTTTTTGAGACAGAGTCTCACTATGTAGTCCTAGTTGGGCTGGAGCTCACTCTGCAGACCAGGCTGACCTTAAACTCACAGAGATCTGCTCACCTCTGCCTCTGGAGTGCTGGGACTACAGGTGTTGCCACCACGGCCTGGTGACCCCAGCTTCCGTCACTGCTTCTCTCCTGCTGGGATTGAGTCACAGTCTGAGCTTCCCAGTCGTAACTTTTACCTCTTTCCAAGGAAGGAATGGCTCTCCTAACAGTAACGCCGTGTTTTCCATGTTCTAGCACTCGGTGCTGTCCCGGAAGTTTGTGGAAGTCATGACAGAATACAATGAAGCACAGATCCTGTTTCGGGAGCGAAGCAAAGGCCGCATCCAGCGCCAGCTGGAGATCAGTGAGTAGGGAAAGCGTGGGAGACGCTCTTTCAAGGGTCCTTCACAGCTCCTAACTGCACCATAAACCGGAAAGCCCTTTCCTAATGCCTGGGCCTAGAGTCCGCAAGATGTGTTCAAAGTTGAGTGGGGGGCGGTGCTGAGTCCATCGTAACTGCTGGTGCTTTTATGTCAGTCGCATTTGGAGAGCTTGAGGTCCAGATTTCTTCACCTCTGTGTCCTGCAGCCCCTCCTCCCTGGCTGGGAGATGACCTCCCATGTATTTGCTCCTCTAGCTGTTACGTGCCAACTTCAGCTTAGCTCCCTCTGGCCAGAAGCCTGTGGTAAACCTGTAGGAGAGCACAGCTGCTCCCCTGTGACAGCAGGGTGGGTTTGTGACAATCAGAGTCACATTTCTGCCGCATTAACCTGCCCAGGAAAGGATCTTCGACAGGGCAGGCAAACACTGTTGGCGATGCTAATGGCTCAGGTAGACCTCAGTGGTCCCATTAGCTGACTGCCCCTGGCTGTGGGCCATGCTGCATCCTCAGTGCAGCTCCCATTGTCCTTCAGCTGGGAGGACCACCACTGACGATGAGCTGGAGGAGATGCTGGAGAGCGGGAAGCCGTCCATCTTCATCTCGGATGTGAGTGCCACAGCCGTGAATGCACCCATCTTAACCTAGATGGGCATTTTGTCTTAATTTACCAGCCAGTCTGGGGTTAGTAATACTTTCCCTTTTCCTTTCCAAAGATTATATCAGATTCACAAATTACTAGGCAAGCTCTCAATGAGATCGAGTCACGTCACAAAGACATCATGAAGCTGGAGACCAGCATCCGAGAGCTGCACGAGATGTTCATGGATATGGCCATGTTCGTGGAGACCCAGGTAATGAGGCGCCTTCCATGGAGAGGCTGCTCATGGAGAGGTTGCGTGCTCTGGCCGTAAAAAGCCATGGCTAGGTGTCCGGTCTCAAAAGTCAGGAGTTGTTTGAAGTGTTAATGCTGAACTGAAACCTGAGCGTGCACTTCCTCAGTAGGACGCCGACTGGTTAGTTACAGGAGCCATGGCATGCTCACAGGCCAGCTACTTAGGTAGAGAGACATGGGCAACACCAGCCACTTGCTCAAATGTCTGTGGTGGGTTTTAGGTTGAAATTAAAAGATATACAGAAACCTTACTTATAGCTATGGATCTGTATGTGTAAATATATGTGGACACACATCATGTGACCTTAGCTACATATAACAGTGCTCCCAGAGGAAGGAGGTGGTCAAGCCAAGCATCCTGAAAACAGCAGGCCTGTAGGGGTTTTGGCCTTTTCTCCTGGGGCTATTGCCCACAAGAATGCCTGAGCAAGGATCAGGACAGTGCCGAAAGACCAACTTCAAGAGTAAAAATCAGTGAGACTAACCATGGCCCACACTCACTCTGCAGCTCAGGCAGGGAGGGCCAGAGAGTGCCTGCAGGTGTAACAATATCAAGTTGTGTGTGCACGTGTGATGTGTCCACACTGACTCAGTGGGAACTGCAGAGACTGGACTGGTCTTCCAGGGTTTTTCAGATTCCCCCCCAGGAAAGTCTGGGGCAGACTACAGCTCAGCTGGCCTCTAGTGAGACAAGCTTTTTCATTAATTAATTAATTATTGTTTTGTTCTTTTTGAGATAAGGCTTCTCTGTGTAACAGCCTTAGCTGTCCTGGAACTGGCTCTGTAGACCAGGCTGGCCTTGAACTCAAAGAGATCCTCCTGCCTCTGTCTCTGCCTCCCAATTGCTGGGATTAAAGACATGTGCCACCACTGCCCGGCTCCCCCTCTTTCAGAAGCAGCTGACAGGGTACCTTTGCTTGATAGCTAGTGATGTTTTGTGATTGCCTGGATATGTAAAGGGTTTAGGATATCCATCGCCACATGCCCTGAACAGTGTTTATTTTGATAAACCTTATCATAAAAGCGTGTGAAAAGGCTGGCAGTGATGGCGCACACCTTTAATCCCAGCAATTGGGAGGCAGAGGCAGGAGGATCTCTGAGGCCAGCCTGGTCTACAGAGTGAGTTTCAGGATAGCCAGGGCTACACAGTGAACACCCCCCCCCCGTCTTGAAAAACAAAACATGTGAAAAATGTCAAGTACCATACACCTGTGGAGAACACTAACAGTTACGTAGAGGCAAGAACAGACACTGGTGGGTTGGAATGGGCACCTGTGGACAGGGATGGGCATTGATGGTCAGGGATGGACATGTGTGGTTCTCTTTGACCTGGGATGGACCAGTAGCCACTTTGTCTAAGAACTGGGGAGCAGGGTATCTGGTGACTTTCCAGGTTCAGAGGGAAGCAGTTGTGTGTTAAGAATGCTAGATTGAGTTCGAGGCTGGGCTGTACTGACAGCCTCCAAAACAACACAGAGAAACCCTGAAACCCTGTCTCGTAAAACCAAAAAAAAAAAAAAAAAAAAAAAAAGAATGCTAGATTGATTTTGAGATCACAAAGCCTTGTAACGGCTCAGGCTTTAATTATAATCACTCCATTCCTAGTGTGTGGTATGAAGCATCATTAGGACAAGCCACCATTAGTAGTCTCACTTTCCTGTTAGCTTTTAGAGTCTGTCATTGTGTTAGGCTGATAATCCAGAAGGAGAGTGAGGATTTAATAGGGCATTTGCTTGTGAGTGAATGATAGTTACCTGTCCATCCTTCTCCAATGCTTTGCTATTGGCTGCTACAGACTCTGTCTCCTCCCGGACAGGACCCAGGTAATGCATCCCTCACACCCTTCTCATCAACTTACTGTGGCATCTCTTCCATTTTCATCTTGGATCATCAGTTCATTGTCACCCGGAGGCTGAACTTAGTTTGCCTGTTAGAAAAGACATGATCGTTTGCGTGCGGAATGTTTTACATAGCAGTAAAACATGAGACTAACCTGAGCTTGCAGCCCTCCCTTCACCGTGAAGACGTGTCAGGTCGTAACTCATCTGTGGACAGTCTTCCCGTCACTGTTGCTGCCACCCCTTAGCTGCTTCTGACACATGGATTGGGTTGGATTGGATTGTGTTGGCTGGCACTTCTGCCCCAGCCTTGTCCTCCTTTGTAACCGAGGGATCCTGTCTCTCTCCCTCTCGTGCTGGGCTTACACGAGAGCTGTCTGAAGAGACATAGCAGAGCGATTTGATGTTTGCTGAGTTTGAAACTTGTTTTCAGGGTGAAATGGTCAACAACATCGAGAGAAACGTGATGAATGCTGCTGACTACGTCGAACATGCCAAGGAAGAAACCAAGAAAGCCATTAAATATCAGAGTAAAGCCAGGAGGGTGAGTCGTGCTACCAAGGACTGAGCCCTAGGGTGGCTTCTTTTCTCTTGGTCTCTAGCTGTGGAAGTTTCAAAATGCCTTAAATACATGCTTTATTTTAAAACCAAAGTAATTCTTTTCACTGAAATTTCCTCAGTTGATTGGCTTATTTGTATATCAGCCATTTAGTGTTGTAAGTAATTAAAACCCTTTAAGGCCTCAAGTCAGGACGAGCCTGCCTCTTTTGAACTCTGTTCCTTTTGACCATCATCTGGAGGGAGGAACAAGGTGATGGGTTTTGGGTTTCTCCTAAAAATCACTGTATGTGAGAGCTGTTAGCTCTGTTAGGTAACTGGCTGTCTGAGGCTGTGGGTGGGCCTCATGTCTTGCGTAAGAGCCCTGGGAGGCAGTTTCAAAGGTAGATGCCCCTTTGCTTAGGCTTCTATTGTGTGTCCAGATTGTCCCAAGGGAATTGTGCAGCAGTGGATGTTACTGGTGCAGAATTCTGAATGTACTCTGCTAGCTTCAGTGTCTAACATAACATCTCTGAAGACTGAGTGGGGTTGGGTTCCATGTTGCTGCCTGCAGAGATTCCAAGGATGATGTCTGCTTAGCAACAAGTTGTACACCCCTGTCTCCCTGTTCAGAGCACCACACGTGCATGCAAGCTCTTCTAGGACAGCTGAGGGCCTGCCAAGGGCGTCACTGCCTGCTACAGGTGGGAGGCAGTAGCGGGCTGGTTCCTCTGTCAGCTCTGACTTTCGGGGCTTCTGGGAAAGTGTTCTGTGTTTCAGTCCATCTGAAACCGTATGAGCCTGTCGTGTGTCCAGGAGAAAGCTAGTGTTACTGGGTTACAGAGCAGACTGATTCTAAGAGGCCTGACCTCATAGATCAAGCCACTCAAGCCACTCTGGGAAGTAAAGACTGCTGTAGGCTTCAGGAGCAGACCTGTAAGTTAGAGTTCAAAATGAGTTCTGGCAATGGCTTTACTCCCAGTGAAAGATGCCTTTGACCGTGGCAGCGTGCAATCAGCGTGGTGTAATCAGCCTGCTTTTCTTTGACAGAAAAAGTGGATAATTGCAGCTGTGGTGGTGGCTGTCATTGCTGTCCTGGCTCTAATCATTGGCTTGTCGGTTGGCAAATGATTGCGTAGATGGCGCTGGGTGCCTGCCTCTCCCTCAGGGTGGCAGTAAGTGACTAATCAACTAATTTACTTATTAACCTTTCAATCAGCGGGTAGTATGTTTGCCCAGTGTTGATATACTTAAAAGTCACAGGGGCTTGTCCACTGAGTGCTTGGTTCAGATCTTAGTGGCCTCTGTTTACTGAGGTGACACAGACTGGGAAGCCACTCAACTCTGCGCAGGGTGGCCACTGCCCCACAGAGCCTGTCCCCAGGGGAAACTAACGCAAATGCTGGTTTAGTTCTTTCTTCTATTGAAACTTTCAGAATAATGGTAACTGAAAATGACTGTAAAATACTCTTAACTGCTCAGTTCACCGTGGAACTGAGAGAATGGAGCTTAAGCTGTGGACAACAGCAGCAGACCAAACCCTTCTCAGGGCCCTGGTGGCAGCAGACCCCTACTAAAATGAAAACCCTGATATTCAATTACCTGCCTACTAATTCCTGCAGGACCACAAGTGTCACATGGTCAGTGTGGAAAGTCATTTTGTCACATTCATGAGCTTTACTCCCAGCATCCTGGGGACTCCACACTGCACTGAGTCATCCTTGGGAACACTGACCATGACCATACAACACTTGTGGTGCTTCTCAATAATTTTTCACTGTGGCAGGAAGGAGGCTCTCCCACGCTGAGTTCCTCATTGCCTCCCATGCTTTTCTCATGATCTGAGCACCTGCCATCAGCTCTTGTAGTCAGTGCAGGCCGTTGGGGTTGCACAGAGAGCATCCACCCTGGGACAAGAAGCCCCTGTCTGTTGGAAAGGAGGTCTTTCCTGATGCCATCCTCCTAAGTCTACTGAAAAAGATGACACTGATTTTTCTCTGCTAAAAGTAATCAGTATTTTTCAGTATTTTCACAAGTCTCTGCAGAACCATGCACTTTATTTTCCTGTAGCACAATGGGGCCAGTTAAATGTGGTCACAGAGGTCTGATGGCTGCTCTCAGCATGGTCAGGGAAGTGCTTGCTTTCTGTGGGTGCCCACGGGCTCTTCTTTGGGACCTGGAAACCAGGTGTGAGCCTCTGCCTGGGCCAGCTGGACATTTGCTGTAGTGCCTACAGATAAAACACACACATGCATACCAGCAGGACACATGCACACCCACTCATTCATTCATTGCAGTAGACCAGACAGCTGGGTCCTGTCTAGAAAGGTGGTTTCCTGTTCCCTCCTCTCTCACCTGGAGCGTGGTTCCTAATGATGGACAGTTGCTCAGTTGCATCAGGGCACCCTGTGGGTGGTGCTTGCCCTCTCTCTGCATTGTAGACTCCTGTCTCTTTTCTTTGCAGAAGGTGATGTTCGTCCTCATTTGCGTAGCCACTTTGCTTGTGATCCTTGGAATTATCCTAGCAACAGCATTGTCATAGCAACCACACCAAGAGCTCTTTGTCCTCAGAGACTCCGACCACACCTGCAGCAGAGTCAATGTCCTGTCCTTCCACATGCCACCTCAGACCCCAGGGCTAGCGCCGAGGTTTGTATTGGTGATGAAGAGTAAAGCACCACAGAGGCTTCGTACCGTGAAAACACCAGGAGCCGAGCGGATGCAGCATGCCAGCCCAGGTGGCCTTGGTCTCTGAAGGACGCCACAGAGACTTCACAATGGTGGCCTTGTCTCAGTAGCATTGACACAGAAATGATTGACAAATGCAACCTTTTTAAAAAAGGTGTCAGTGTTAACATGTGCGTGCAGTTTAATTAGAGTGTGCTCTGTGCTCCCTCAGCTGACAGTGGTAGTGAGGAGACTTTGCACCGGGCCTGATTTCTGTTCATGTCTCGCTTGCAGAATCACCACAGAACTGTCTTGTAAGGTATCTGTAATTTTAAATAGCTATAAATTAAATTCCTTAATATATTAACATCGAACCCCCGTTTTCTAAAGCTAGACACTGCCTTTCGAAGGACAATGGACAGGCCCTAGGCAGCCATGTACAGGTTGCTGCTGTCACTGGAAACCTGGTCTTGCAGCCCTCAGGGCCTTTCTTGAGGGCTCTCTGGTGACCCAGGAAGTGTAAGGGTGTGAGGAGTCTGCGTTGTCGCTAGCTCACTTCTACGCGCTTTATTATGGGGGTGACACACAGTCGTGTGCTGCCCTCACGTCCACCTCCTCCCCGTTCACTGGTGCTGCTGGAGTCTCAAGGCAAGGCGGCGATGGAGCCCGGACTGTTGCTCTCAGCTCACGGGAACAGTCCAGTCGCGAAGCCATTCTTGGACAGCATCCGAAGGACCAGAGTGTCATCCGAACCCCCACTAATGCCTAGAGTTGTCGAGAAACCGGGATAGGTGATGAAGATGTGGGCTGTTTTACACTGTGAGTAGGTGGCCAGGTGGCGGACGGCCTGTCTGTATGCTGACATGCTGACTGGGGATGTGCAGGACACCAAGCCTAGTGGACTCGGCTGACGGCTGACTGCATGTGGATGCTCACTCTGTCCCAGCCTCATCTGGTTGGATCCGGTGTAGCCGTGCTGATTCAGAACACCAATCGTGAGAGAATCTGAACTGTTTAGAAACTACCACCCCTACAGTGGTGAGCGTCACTCATTCTCAACACCCCCCAGCCTGACACCCCAGGTGCTGAGAGCTACTGCAGGAGACTGGACTGTGTGTCCTGGTCTAGAGCTAGCCCATAGTGGAGACGCTCCTGCCTAGAAACAACTACTTCCTGCCTAGGGGCTCCCACTTCCTGCCTGGAAGCTTCCGGAAAGCTCTGCAGATGGAGCCGTGTTTGTGCAGCTCCTGCCGTGTGCTCGGCGTCAGTGCCATCGAATTTAGCTGCAGGGGACCTGCATGCCACCGAGTTCCCAGCACTTGGGGTCAGGTTCCCTTCAAGTTGAGCCTGAGTCCTTGGCCTGTGATGTGCTCCCCACGTTGTGCTCAGGTGGCCTCTCCACCAAGCGGGTGCCTGAATCTGGCTTTCTGGTGAAGCAGAGGTGTGTGGGTGAGTGAGTCAGCCCGCAGGATATATTTCTATGCTGACGTCATAGCCTATTTCAAAATACATTTACAGATTGTGTTGTTACTTTTTCCAATGATTTCTTCAGAAATTTTGTGTTTACATTAAAAACTTCTCCAAGAAGCAAACGAGAAATATTTTCTGCCTCATTATTTCAGGAGGACTTTTGGGGAGATCTCTCCTACATAAGGCCCCATTATGTGATACTTTGAGGAGACATGAACAGATGTCTACTCACTCCAAATGAACCAATCGCAGACCAAAGTCTAAACACACATTTCATGTAGCTGTGCGTTTCAGAAGGGACATGGCAGTTGTCTGGAGCAGAGCAGTTGAGATGATCACAGGGAACCTCTGCTGGTCAGGCCTGTTAGCCTTGGAGGGCAGGACACTGGCTGACTGGGGCTTGGGGCTCTGTGGTAGCGTAACTACTCGTACGCTGCCCAGGGACTGTCCCATGGTGCAGCTTTTCTTCATGCAACAGGCTGCCCAGGAGTGACACACAGGCTTGTCAGCGACCACAGTGAATTTACTGGTTCACCAAGCCGGACTTGGATGGAGTCCTTTCTTGGGTCTCTTGGTGTCCCGTCTACCTGAGATCAATGGACATTGTTTATGTCTTCCCAGGGTTCACCCTGACTGGAGGGAGTGTGAGGACATGGGAGAGGGGCCAGGAACCTGTCACCCTGAGGAGTCTCACCCTCAGTTCACTCCCTGGAGAAGACTCAACTGGGACTAGGGCTCAGATAGGGACACAGTAAAAGCCCAGGGCCCCTACGTGTGCTGGGATCTGTGCAGTACCAGTAGCTGGAGTTCAGGCCACAGTGACCTTACCCTTCCTTGTCTTATAAAAACAGCCCCACAGGACTTACTGTTACCTGGAGCTCCATAGCTTGGTCCCAGGTCCCCTGCAGGGCCGTGGCCTTTCCGTCCAGGTGCGGAAAGAAGGGAGCAGCCCCATCTCATTGCTCCATTTCATAGACCAGAGTTTTCCATCCCTTGCTACCTGAACAGGTATTGCAGTCTTAGCCTCAACAAGGCTTCACTGGCTTCAGTGTGCAACTTAACCCCCCCCCCACCATTCCACAAAGAAGGATGCATCTCCCTTCTTTCCATGACCCAAGCAGCTCTCGATCCATAAATGCCTGTACATACCATCTGCGAGCCCAGCAACACCCCGCTTGGGAGCAACAGAAAAGTGCCTGAGTGAGGTCTGGGCCTGTGGGGTCTGTGGTCCAGAGAAGCAGAGCAGGAAGCCATACATCTCAGGGGTTGTCATGCTGCGTTTGGACTATTCAGGGAAAACCTCATTACAAACATCTGTGTGGAGAGAGGAAACGGGAGAGGGCATGGTGCTACGGGCTAAGGCAGCATACGGAAAGGTTCTGGGTGGGCGGGGACATACCTGATGGGCTAAATCGGGGAGACTGTGTGAGCGCCGGGCAGCGGAGGTCAGGAGGGAGCCCCAGTGAATGTGTGTGGTGGAGGGTGAGGAGTCCTGGGAGCCATGGACTCTGACAGTTGGTTCACTCAGACATACAAGACGCTGCCCTGACTTCTATGTTAGGCTGTGCCGTAGATGAGAAGAGCAGAGAGGACCACGTGAGCTTACTGGGTGTGCTGGTGACAGGCCCAAGGACACTTGTGGACAGGACAAAGGCAGCCAGACACTTGGTCTCACTCTGCCTCCTGCCCCACCTTGCTTCCGGATCTTGCCTTCTTGGCCTGCCTTGCTTCCTTCCTGTTCCTGCCTCACTTCCTGGCCTGCCTTGCTTTCCCTGTTGCCTGTGTGCTGTCCCATTTCCCATTCCTGCAGGTGGAAGTTTCTCTCCTGCCCCGTCCTGCATCCCTTTAGTCCCAAATGAACACACAGAGGCTTATATTAATTGTAAATTGTTTGGCTGATGGCTCAGTCTTCTTATTGGTTAATTCTCTCTTAATTATTAACCTATTTCTGTTCATCTTAATCTATGTATCTCCACATGGTCTTGGTTTACCAGAGACTGTCTGGACCTCTTCTTTCTTGGTAGCTACATGGCATCTCCCTGGTGACTCACTCTCTGAGTTCCTCTTCCCAGAATTCTCCTAGTCTGGTAGCCCCGCCTATACTTCCTGCCTGGCTACATCCTGCCTGTCTGTTGGCCGAAACAGCTTTATTCATCAACCAATAAGAGAAACATTTGCAGCATACAGACGGACACCCCTTCTTTGCTCCCTGTTCCTTCTGCACTTCCTGTCTCGCTTTACTTCCTGCACTGTTTCCTGTCTTGCCTAACTTCTACTTCCCACTTTTTTCCCTTCACTTCCCTCCCTGCCCTGGTGCATTCGACCCCAGCGATTCCGGCTTTAGAATCATGCAGGCCTGTTGGATACACCAGTAGAGCATCCTCTGAGGCTGAGGCTCAGTGCCAGAGACCCATTTCTGAGTCTCTTGGACCTCACCTTTCTGGTCTTCCCACCCACATGTGTCCATTTGGCCCTGAAGTGCAGTTCCCCAGTTACTACTCACAGCTGGCTGTATTGATGTCTCTTCAAGTAACACGTTTGTGCCTCGAGACTGGACTATAACCCTACAATCAAAACCATAAGCAGAATCACCTAAAAGTAGAGAATGCTGGGAGGTGGGGCCGTTAATACCAGCACTCAGAGGCAGAGGCAGGCGGATCTCTGAATTTGAAGCCAGCCTGGTCTACAGAGCGAGTTCAAGGACGGCCAGGGCTACACAGAGAAACCCTGTCTTAAAAACAACAACAATAAAAACAAGCAAAACCCAGAAAACAAAAGCAGAGAGCAAGGTTGCCTCTGGAGGGCAAGATGGACAGGTGCTAAGCCAGACAGGAGCGCCTGTTATGAGATCAGATCTCCTGGTCTCTCCCAGGCCACCTACATCAATCAGTGCTGTCCTTTCCCACTGGAAAGTCTCTTGAGCCCCAGATTCTGTTGGGTATCTTTTAGGACATACTTTAAAAAGGTTTTGTTTGTTTATACTTTATTTTGTATGCATGCAGTGCTTGAAGAGGTCAGGACAGCATCATATCCAGTGGACATGGAACCCGGGTCCTTTGGAAGGAGCAGCCAGTGAGCTTTCTGCTGAGGAATGGCTCTCTCCAGTTCCAGGACAGACATTCTGGTTTTTGGTTGTTTCTTTTTCAAGACAGAGTTTCTTTGTGTAACAACCTGGAACTTGCTTTGTAGACCAGGCAGGCCTTGAACTCACAGAGATCTCTTCTCCTCTGGTTTCTGTGTGCTGGGATTAAAGGCATGTGCTACCATACCCAGCCATACATTATTTTTGAAGGCTGTATGTGACATGGGTAAAGCCTTGGTCACATCTACCAGACTTAATAGCTGTCACACCCTGGGTTTCTGGAGGCCATGATCTGTGCTGGTTGAATGGTTTGCTTTGGATGTCTTTCCATAGATTTAAGCTGTGAAAAGGGACATTCTTCCCAAGGTGCTCATATGGCCCTCTCCCCCACTGTTCTGGGGCTCTGGCTTTTAAGGCCGTCTGCTCAGAGAGGGCTAGAATGGCCTGTCTCCTCAAAGACCCCCATTCTCCATTTCCTCACAGGACTCATGCATGTACTGTCTGCTCTGACCAGCCGGTGGCAGTGTTGCTTATTGTGGGCTCTGTTCTAGGATGCAATTATCTGATACATACAAATAAAAATATTATACATACATATATGTGTGAACATGCAAAATAATACATACATATACATACATGCTGAGCGGTGGTGGCACACGCCTTTAATCCCAGCACTCAGGAGGCAGAGGCAGGTGGATCTCTGTGAGTTCGAGACCAGCCTGGTTTACAAGAGCTAGTTCCAGGACAGCCTCCAAAGCCACAGAGAAACCCTGTCTCGAAAAACCAAAACCAAACCAACCAAATCAAAACAAAAAAACCCACCACCACCAACAAAACAAAACAAAAAAACCCAACAACGACAATAACAACAACAAAAACAAAACCCCATACATATAAGAATAATTAAAGGCTCAGAATAGGAGTCACCGTCTCCCGTGCTGGTTCATATCCTTGCATTTAAATGCTACAGCTGATTGAATGCAGTGACTCAATTCCTTTGTTCAAGTGTGGGCAAGTATGGAGGCCCCCTTTAATTTGGACTCTGGCATCCTGAACAGGGAAAGGCCAGTGAAATGAGTTCTGTCCAGAAGAGGTGTGTATTAAAAGTATTTTTTTCCCCTTCACTGTGATAAGCTAAGAAAGGGCCTATTTTGGCTCCCAGTTGTTGAGGTTTTGGCCATGGTGGCAGGGCTCCATTGTTTCGGCACAAAGGCAAAGACAGAGAATGTGGCGGAGGCAATTTACCTTATGACAGTCAGGAAGCAGACAGACACATAAAGGGACCAGGGACAAAACAAACCCTCCAGAGACATGCTCCTCTGGGAACCTTGTGCTATCTGGTTTTTTTTTTTGTGTGTGTGTGTGAGTGTGTGTGTGTGTCAACTTGACACAAGCTAGAATCATCTGAGAGGAAGGAACCTTAATTGAGAAATGCCTCCATAAGATTAACCTGTGTGTAAGTCTGAGGGGCATTTTCTTCATTGATGGTTGATGTGGGAGGGTCCAGCTCACTGTGGGTGGTGCCACCCCTGGGCTGGTGGTCCTTGGTCCTATAAGAAAACAGGCTGATACAATCCACACCGCCAGAGAAACTAGGAAACAAGGAGGACCCTAAGAGAGACATATATGGTCCCCTGGGGAAGGGGAAAGTGACAAGATCTCCTGAGCAAATTGGGAGCATGGGGGGAGGGGAGAGGGAGCTGGGGAGAAGAGGAGGGGAAAGGAGGATATGAGGGAACAGGAAGGTTGAGTTGGGGGAAGAATAGAGGAGAGCAAGAAAATTGATGTCATAATAGAGGGAGCCATTATAGGTTTAAAGAGAAATCTGGCACTAGGGAAATGTCCACAGATCTACAAGGTTGATACCAACTAACAGTCTAAGTAATAGTGGAGAGGCTACCTTAAATGTCCTTCCCCAATAGTGAGATTGATGACTACCTCATATGCCATTCTAGAGCCTTCATCCAGTAGCTGATGAAAGCAAAAGCAAACACCCACAGCTAAACATTGAACGGAACTGGAATCCAGTTGCAGAGAGGG